AGCAGAACTGTCTAAACCTCATTAATAAAACAAAGCCGAATGCTTGGACGATATTCTATGACAATTACTTAATAGTGATTTGATGTTACGAATTTCACGTCAGTTCCAGGAAAATATTTGATTATTTTTTTTTTTTCCCCCCCAAAGCCAAAAGGTGGAGCACCATCAGGTACTCTCATTGTCCAGTGCTCTAAAACTAGTCTCCTCTTCAGCATCCACCTCACATTCTTTACACCATCAAGTTGGGTTATGTAGAGTTTCCTCCTATGCATTTCTCCTGCACTCCGCCCTCGCCTTTGGCAGGGTCCAGAACTCCAAAACTACTTCAGAAAATTCCAAGTAAAAACTGCTATTTTTTTAACAAAACATTTTAGCAAAGACACTTTAAATTATTGCTACGGAAGATTGTTATTTTATCTTATGGCAAAGGGCTGAACTTTATTCCTTTGATTCAAGGTTGAGAAAACTATTTCTGGCCTCACATTACAAGAAATGGACTTGGCTGCAGATTGTGGCTTTTTTGGGTGGGGTTTGTTTTTTTTTTTTCTGTTTTATTTTCTAATCTTATACATAGGGTGATAAAAAGGAAGACAGAGGGTAAACTTAAGGCAGGACAGGAAGATAGGGTATGTCTGGAGAACCTAGAGGATCAGGAAATTTTTTTCCTGTTGTTTCTGTGTTTTCTTAACCACGCCAGTGTTCAGCAAGGGCAGACGAAACCAACTTTTCTTTGACCAATGTCCTGCAGTTTTAGGTACCTGTGATGCCCATGCTTTAGGGATGTGGGCTTTGAGATTAAAAACATTTGAACAGCTTCTTTCCAAGCTGTCTGTTTTCTATCACTGAGGGAGGTGATGTGAGGGTCTGGCTTCTTGGTCAGGGGTGGCTGGTGAATCTGCCACAGCTGGCTGTCCCACGTGGGCACTGGTTGGGACAGATGCTGTACACACAGCTATATATTTCAGCCACCCACGGCATTCTGGCTGGGAAGGGAGTGAAAATGAAGGATGTACTTTCTTCTCCGTTATTTGCTTCACATTCATAATGCCTTTCCTCTGTTGTGTTTGTAGAGAATGAAGAAAAGAATGTTTCCTTTATTTGCACAATGAGGCATTTTTTGCCTTACAAGAGAGGACTTGTAGGGAGAGGAGCAGATGAAATTTTGGGCATGCAGATCCCATATGGCTTATAAACCACATAAGTGGCAAACTGGGTCACTGCAGAGGACTTGTATGGTCAGCAGCTTGGATTACATTAAATGAGTTTCAAATTGTGATGCCTAATTATAATGGTAGTCACAGAGATTAGTCTGTAAGGAAGCTACTTTGAAGCTTTGGCTTTTGTTTTCAGAAAAATCATTTAAAGTGGAATAGAAGTTTGTAGAGAGAAGCAAGCCAATTTAGGATAAAACTGTAGTATACCACAGAAGGACAAGCTGTTGATTTGACTTGTCTAGTTTAATTTCCCATTCCCAGTGATTCCCAATAATAAACCTGCATACGTTATCTCTTTTCCATAAGAGAGTATCTCTATGTGTTTGCAAAAGGTGGGGAGGTAATAGATTTTTTTTTTTTTTAATGTATGTGTAACTAACTTCAGAGATAGCAACTATGAAAGGAAAGATTTGAATGAGAAATAGTTAAAAAGGAAGCCCTGTAATGCATCTGTGCTTACTTCGTTTGCATAACAAAAACCAACCAACCAACCCAAAAGTATTAGTATGCATTATATACCGGATATAAATTTCCTCCTTTTTTATGCCATTGTAAATCCAGGAAACTTCAGCCCAGGTTAAGCTATTTCAGGGATATCATTGTAACAATACATACATGTGTATATCCTTAATATGTTTTGACATAACTGATTTCCTTTTTAATTTGATCTTTAACTGAGT